GGGGGACGCTCCGACTCTGCTTCGTCTTATCGGAAAGTATATAAGACCTGGCACGACGATCATTAGTGACTGCTGGAAGGCATACAGTCAGATCGTCACTGCCATGCTTACCGCACCTCCAGGTCAATCACCAGTTGAATTTTGTAGACCCACAAACTGATGCCCATACTCAAAACGTAGAGTCGCTGTGGCAGAAATACGAAGTGATGTGCAAGCGGCGCTTTGGAATTAACAACTCACGCTACGAGGACTACTTGTGCGAGTTCCTAAGTAAGAGCTTGTCAGATTCCAAAAAGATAGTCTTAGCAGAGAGTGTAAACTTGGGTGATAATTAAAGGAATAAAAACTCCCTACACTGTTACGACATCCTGAACTGGTCTGTTTTACAAACAGAGAAAGGAAAGTGAGATTAAAGTTATATGTACACTAGATGCGCTGCTAAAATGCAAAAGCCAATCGATAGGTAACAGAATAAGGCCAATCGGATCAGCTGCGTCAACGCCTTTGACCACTCCCCTGAATCTGTCGAAAAATCGTGCGTTGGCTGGAGTAGTTATTTCTAGCACATCCCTGACTCTTGCAGGAATGAAAGAATTCATAAAAAGTTTGTTATGATTACTTTATGATACCCATAAACTATCTCCAGCAAAGTATTCAGTTTTTTTACATTTCCTTAAACTCACATCTGATGTTAAAACTGCCAATTTACCTGCGAGAAGAATTTCTCACCATGCGAGAAAAGTTCAACTTTTAACCCATTTAGCCATTTACCAAAAAGCACAATCCATACGAAGAGCCTGACGAGCAAGCAGGTTTCTATAAAGGAACGCCTAAGAAAGGCAACAATCAGCTTCTCAAATACCAGTCGGATCGCGTGGCCAACGCCGCGCTCTCCGCCTTTCGAGTCGTCACACATCCCACTCTAAAATTTNAAACTCACATCTGATGTTAAAACTGCCAATTTACCTGCGAGAAGAATTTCTCACCATGCGAGAAAAGTTCAACTTTTAACCCATTTAGCCATTTACCAAAAAGCACAATCCATTCGAAGAGCCTGACGAGCAAACAGGTTTCTATAAAGGAACGCCTAAGAAAGGCAACAACCAGCTTCTCAAATACCAGTCGGATCGCGTGGCCAACGCCACGCTCTCCGCCTTTCGAGTCGTCACACATCCCACTCTAAAATTTAAATGCTTTGGTACAGTAGATCAGGAAGTATAAATTTTCGGCCAAACACATATACATGCAGACATACAGATACACCTACACACACATACCCCACACACTTCGTGAGCGCTCTGCCAGTTGAGGGCGGAGTCCTTCTCAGTTCATTTGATCCAGGGAAACTGGACTCAAGAATTACCGATCACGCACCGCTCCCTGGGTGGAGCGCAGTCTGCCACCTACGGCATGTGTTCCCGTCTTGTCGCCTGTGCTCCTAATAATTTTTAACCCTTAAGGTTTAGGGAACAGGAGTTATTAACTCCCAGTCAAACACACACACACCGACACACATACAAACGCACATACTGATAGCGCGTTACATATAGTAGGGTGTATTTTATAATGCAATGTTCTGTAGTTAGTTCGCTCAGACCTACTGTAGTACCAATATGACCAAGCTCGCGAAATGAGCAGGCAATGTCCCTCTAGCAAAGCTCTACGACGCTCATGTAAAAATTGCTCTCCGTACTGGATGGTGCACGAGTTTTTTGGTCCCGACTATTGAATACGTCTTCATCGTGTTTCTAGACTAGGTATCGATGCCTTACTGAGTTTGGATGCTTTTATACAGAAGCACAGTAGATAGGAATTCCTGCCAAAGACACAAACAACCCGACCTAAATCGTGTACGTTCAATCCGTCAAGAGCGGATCCCGCTAAAATCGTGTTTAGGTAAGTAGTGGTGTTTGCGTCCAGTAGTATCGGATGGTAACTTGGTTCGTTCCTCAGTGTTCTCATCACATCGCCCGTGTTCGTTCAAAATATGAAACTCTGGAACCAGTCCCCCCCTCTCACAATGGAACTCATTCAAAGCACCAATCGTCAGGGTCCTGCCCTTATATCCCCTCCAATGAACGCACTGACTCTACGCCTACAGCATTTTGCACACGTCCCGCCTTCCATGAGGGACTCCGGTCTACCATATACCATTACTAATTCTATCCTGCTGCCTGTACTCTTACCAAATCTGAGCATTTCTGTTAAACGGAACGGACCTTATTAGGTCACTCTTCATCGTCAGGGGTTGAAAAAAATTTGGGAGAGGACAATTATAATTTGCAGCGATGTTTGAGAGATTTCTCCCCTTTGCGAGCGTTCTTCGATTCTTGTCAACGATTTGCAAGCTGCAAATTCTTACTTGCCGAAAGTTTTATCTATTTGTTTATTTATTCATTGGCTAGGATAAAGCTTGAGCCCCGTGCCAGGTTGAGGCTTGTCGCGAAAGTCCGGACTCAGGCAGAACTATGCTCGGATCCTGACAACGCTTTTGAATACTTCTCTCGAATACAAATCAGTATTTGCGGAATAAATCCTACACTCCCGGCAT